AATAATGATGTTTAACATTAAATGTTAAACACATTTACAATCAATATTCAAAGATAATATAAGGGTTTTTAACCCCTTACAAAGGGTTAGAAAAATAGTTTTTAGATTTTTAAGCTAAAAATACAATAAATGTTTTGAAAGAGTTTTTTAAAGATGTATAATATATTCTTTTGTGTTATAAATTAACAAAAAAATTCAAAAATAAATTATTGTTTAATAGAGAAAACTTTAAAATGATTCCTATTTGATCTTTTGTTTGCTTACGACGAACTCTCGTGCGTTAGCTGGACGACTTCTAAAATACAACATGGGATACTGCATACGGGGTAACAGTTAAAAATTTATTTTGATTATAATTGACTATTTGTTTGAATTTCAACGCAAAAATTCAAGGTTCAAGACTTATATATATCTAAGAATAAAAACCATATGCGAGGAAGAAGGGATATATAAAATAATATTGAGCTGTTATTAACGTACAAAAATTATTGCTTTACACAACTTTTTATCTTCTAACGATACCTTCTATATATCACCACGAATTTCGCTTTTCATATTGAACTTGGGCCTAACATAATGTTCCATAATTCTATAAAAATGTAATAAAAAATAACTATTTTGTTATACTACATTAATCAATCCAGCCAACTTATTTAATTAATTATAAACACATTAGAGTAATAAAATAAAAGGATAAATTTTAGGTTAAAAAAGGTTCTTCACTTTTTTATAAATATTTTATATTCAATGTTTCAGCATCGAATTAAAACTGAAATCAGTAGAGGAGAACCTAAATGAATGGGTCAGTTTTTGTTAAAGACTTTTTAAAAGTTGATAAAGTTGTCTAGTTTATACATTAAAAACTGTTTCTTCCGCCAGGAGAAATGTGCTTTTAATTCCCATTAATGTAACAATTTTAATGTTATGTTTGACCCTTCATGTTTAGGCAATTAAGAGAATAATTATTTGGTCTGTTGAATTGTTGTGTTTAACATTTTTTACAACAGGAGTTTTGTTACCAATCAACCTTAGATGCTTGTAAACAAATTTGATTGTGTCCCATTCCATCAGCGTTCCATTCATTATAGTTCTCCCCAAATATTATTATTAAAATTGTTCGTTTTTCAAAATTAACTTCCATGGACTAGATATAAAATTTACTCACAATTTAAACAGTTTGATTATTCAGAGTTAAACAAAAATACATACCCAACCATAACATTTTTTGTATTTTCATTAACATTTTTTCATATGCTTTCTTGAGGTGACAAAGCTAAAACATAAATAAAAGTCTAATGAAAAGTTCATGTTTGAATAAGACAGGATTCATTTAGTTAATTGTTGCAGTTGTTCTATAAAAGCATCAAAATAATTGCTTAACCAAGTATATGACAAAAATAATTAACAAAAATTACAAGACTTTGAAAAACTCTGCAGAATGTAAATGACTATCAGGTCACTAAAATAATTCTCGAATTATGTAGTGAATAAATTTATCTTTCACAACATTTTCTGGTAAAATCTAAGAGCAATTTAAATAGGTTCACCAAAAAAATGATAACGTTATAAAGGATTCTATCAAACAGACAATCTTTAAAGATAGAAATTGTAAAGATATATTACCAATTATTGGTATTCCCGTGTCTTTTAATCTGGTTTCAAGTTCATAAAATTCTTCAATAGACCCAATCTTTTGAAAATGGTTACGCTTACACTTCCTGACGTTTTATTGGCACATTCGCAACAATTTTTCTCAAGATTTAATTGAAGTTATATGAATATTACTTTAAACCATTTCCCAATAATAACTCATACTCATGCAAAAAATCATATAAAAATTATCATGATTATTTGGTTTCTTATCACCAACAAATAATTATACAATAAATGGTGTCTCTTTGTCAAACATACATAGAATAGGTCAGTGTGTTTGATGACTTTAATAAAGAAAGGCCATCTACATTGCAACTTTAAACATTGTATTTGACTCAAATCTATAAGACTAGTTGACTGCTAAAGTTCTTGATATGCTGTTTGAAATACCAAGATAAACATATTCACCTCCACATTTTAAATCACTTGGAACATTCGTAGGAGAATTTAAATTTCCTTGTTCATTTTGTTAAATCAACATAATGACCATACTTGTTTAATAAAATAACAGTTCACTTGCATTTCTAGTTATTCTGTGTTGTAAAATCCATAACAATTACTCCATCTTTAAGATCTTCATTATCATCATTCATAGAAACCTCAGAGTCTAGATCAGAACTCTCAGTTTCAGAAGTATCTTTATGATCAGACACAAAATAAAAGTTACTATAGTTCTTAATTTTGTTGTTTTTAAAACCAATACTACTGCTGACTATATTATTTAAGGCTTGATTACTTTTTTGACATTCCAAAAGGATAATAATAAAAATTGAACACAATAAAAATTAATAATAAAAACATAAACTTTTATTAATAAAAAAACAAGTAAAAACTTTTTTAGAAAAGTGAATATTCTTATATTTTCTAGTACCATTCTCTCAAATATTGATTTTTCTCTTGTTTATTCATTTGTATTATTCTGAAATCAACATAAATTTCAGTAGTTTTAACATACGTAACAAGATAATAATGAAAACTAAACACAATAAAAAGTAATATTAATAATAAGAAATTTTCAATTTTTATCAACAAAAAAAAAACAGGTAAAAACTTATTTAGAAAAGTTAATATTCTTATATTTCCTAAACTTTAAAGAATTAATATTTTTATCCTTTCATCATTTACATCTACATTTGTTCTAGGTAAGTTTTTTAAACGCTAGCTTATTAGTCTTATATAGTTAAATGTTTATTTATAATTGTCATACAGTTGACAATTTGTTTGTATCATAATTAAAATCCTAAAGTCTCATTAAATAGTAATAATAAATAGTTATGATTGTGTCAGAAAATAAACTGCAAATATTTTTTAAAAATACAGTAAAACCACTTGCTAGTCTTAATTGGCTATGTTAAAACAAAAACTAGCTTAAAATGAAATTTGAAAATCAAAATTAAGTATTACATGTTTTTCAACAACGAAATGTTAACCTTTAACTTTGGTTTACATAATAATGACAATTGTATTTTTTTTTTTTTTTTCAGTTCATTAGTTTATTGTTAAATTACTAATCTAAGTTATGTTAACCAAAATATAACTAAACAAATATACAAATAAACACTAAAAATGTAAATAAACAAGAAGGTTACAGGTATAGTATATACTTTAATATACGGGAAGAAACTAAACAATAATAAATATAACTGCCTAATATTTTGCTTGCATTCTCTATACATATTGTTTGGCATTTATTTACCAATGGATACTTTTCAATACTTGTAATATGATTATTTATTTTAGCATTTGTTGAAGACTCTCTATGCTTTTCATTAGCGAAAATTTTAAAACACATTTTATTTTACTTACTATATATTTTGATTTGCTTTTAACACTTAATGCATAGCAGATGCTTGGTTACGATATATGATCCATTATTCTTGCGGTTTCAAAGTAATAATTTACTTATGTTGTTTGTCGAAATATAAGTGAGCATTTTATTGAAACTCATTTTCCTTAGTTATTTTGATTTCAAAATATTATACTATATTGCTCAGAGTGAGTAACAATCAGATCAAAGGGTTGCCATAGCAGCTTTAATTCCATGAGCATTAGGCTTTAACCGATTTGATACTTGTTTGTAATTTTCTTGCATTCAAATTAAAACATTAGACATATTACTCCTTCTTATTAACAAAAAATCTAACCTGAGCAATATATTTTGATTCAATTAAAGTAATATGAAATAGTTAAACAACCCTTTGAAGCTTAAAATGAGATTAAAAAAAAATAAGTTTCAAAAATAATTACCTTAATGCAAATTTTTCGCTCAAACATAGAGTAAAATTTAGAGACTAACCATTATTATAATTATTTTTCTAAATTAAAACTTTTTATTCAAATATTTGTTAAATTTTTTATCAGCAAATCAAAAGTTTTAAATAATTATGCGCTGTTTATTTTCAAATACTTTTTGAAAATTCCTCGAATATCTTTTAAATGACAGTGCAAACCCTCAAACTTAGATAATTATCTTGTAACTAATTTTATTTCTTGTCTTCTCATATGTCATCTTTAAGAAAAAAACGTAATAATTAATTACGGTAGACTTTTTTTTATCGTCAGTATTTACGTTTTATTTTTTTATTTTTTAACGCTGTCTGTTTTTTAGCTCAACGCTAGAATGTTAGGTTTATTCTTCTATGTTTTTTTAACGTTGTGTCAACGTCAACTTAACGTAAGAATATTGCATTAAAAAGATTATGTTGACTTAACGTTGAATAAACAATAAATAACGTAAAACGCAATTTGAACATGAATACAATGTTAGTACAACGTTGTGTGCTTGCTGGATATATATATATATATATAATATATATATATATATATATATATATATATATATATATATATATATATATATATATATATATATATATATATATATATATATATATATATATATATATATATATATATCCTAGCAAGCACACAACATTGTGCTAACGTTGAGTTTATGTTAAAATTGCGTTTATACGTTACTTAATGTTAATTCAACGTTGACTCAACGTAATCTTTTTAACGTAATATTCTTACGTTGAGCTAACGTTGACACAACGTTAAAAAAACATAAAAGTATTAACCTTAGATTCTAACGTTGAGCTAACATACAGACAACGTAAAAAAATAAAGAAATATTAACGTAGTTCTGCTTACTATAAAAAAATCTACCGTAATTAATTAATTATTTTTTTCTTGAAGATGGCGTATGAGAATAACAAAAATAAGTTTAGCTAAATATAATTAACTAAGTTTGAGGTTTGCATTGTTTTTTAAACGATATTCGAGGAACTTTCAAAAAAAGTTCGAAAATAAACAGCTCACATTTATTTAGAACTTTAATTTCCTGATTAAAAGATTAAATAAATGTTTGATTGAAAAAGGTTTATTTAAAAATAAAAAATATATTCATGGTTAGCCTCAAAATATTACCTTGCTTATTAAATAAATGTTTAACAGTAAGTTTTTTATGTCTGAATAAATTTTTTATAGTAGTGTTTACTTACACACGACGTTATTTCGACGTTGATTTACAGTTGATTTTTAGTCGCGACGTCGTATAACCAAAATCAACGTTGTATCAACGTTGAAAAATTTGTTTAAAACTATCAAATAAAATCGACGTTGATTCCACGTTAATTCAACGTCTATATTACGAGTTCGATCGTTCGTAATTGCAATATGATAACTAAAATACGCATGCGTGACTTAAAATTTTTTTATCAACATAACAAATAACAAGTAAAGACTTAACAAGTTACTTATTAGCCCAATAAAAACAAGTAAAGTCACACATGCTAATAAATTAGGTCATCTGTTGCCTTTTTATAAGGTTTTGAATTTGACAATTTAACAATAATACATGGCTAAACTTGTGATGCAGTTAGTTAGGTAAATATTAAATGGATATTTCTTTATGACCGTATTATTTCATGAGTGTGGATTACAAGTAGAGACTACTTGATATATTATATAAATATAAAATATATATTATATATGTTTTTCTTATTTATATAATACATATATATATATATATATATATATATATATATATATATATATATATATATATATATATATATATATATATATATATATATATATATATTATATATATATATATATATATATATATATATATATATATATATATATATATATATATATATATATAGTATATATACTTATATTATATATGTGTATATACATATATAGTATATGTATATATTATATATGCATACTATATACATGTATATATATATATATATATATATATATATATATATATATATATATATATATATGTATATATGTATATATATATATATATATATATATATATATATATATATATATATATATATATGTTTATTATATTACATATGCATACTATATATATATATATATATATATATATATATATATATATATATATATATATATATATATATATATATATATATATATATATATATATATATATATATATATATTATATATGCATATTATATATATATGTATATATATATATATATATATATATAATATGCATATATAATATATACATACACTATATATGTATATATACATACATAATATAAATATATATAATGGATGATGTTTTACAAAATAATGATTTATCAAGCTTTTTTACCAATCAATGTGATTTAAAGAGTTTAAATATTTTTTATATTAAAAAATTTTTATTAAATTTTTAAAGATTTTTCTTGTAAAGTTGTATAAAAAAGAATTTGTGAATGCTTCTTTAGTCCATAATATTGGTAGAAAGATCAACGTAAAAATTTAGCAAATTTTAGCAACTGTATAATGTATCATGACGTACAGTTTATAGTTGTATTTTTCTGTTAGCTATTTTACATGAACAAATTTTTAATATATAAGTATTTTTTCTATTATAATTTCTACTATACTTTTCCAGTTGAAAAAGTATAGTAGGGCATGCAAAATGTTCATTCGAGCTGTTTGGATAGAAAATACAGAGAAATAAAGAGAGAAAATTCGATTGATAATTTTTTGTGCTGCTCGTCATCTTTAAATGTAATAAATTGTTTCAATGAAATGCATAAACCGCATCTAACTAATACAGATTTAAGCTGCTCAAAATTTAATGTCATGGAGATAATGTAATTTTTTTTTTAATATAAACCTTAAGTCATTACTTTTTTTCCTTGTTTTTTTAACATGCTTTCATTCTGTATATGTTGTTTTCAGTGTTTAGATATATTCTTTATTATATATTCTTTGTTATATAATGTTTTTAAAACATTTTTAAATTGAATGAATATTCTTAGATCATGAGTTATGTAATAAATTTGAATTTGCCTCTATAAGTGATACTCAGATAGAATCAGGTTCAGAAAACAGTAACTATTTCAAAAGATACTTAATTCAAGTATTATTAGTTATATTTTGATATTAATTATTATAGGAGCCACTACCATGCTTATGCAAGAGAAAACATAATAACCAACAGAATAGTAAGCAAATACCTACTCCTGTAACACAAAAAAAGAAACAGAAAACATTTTTTATGCATACTCCACATACTGTAGCTTAAGGTATTAATTGTCTGTCTGCAAGTTGATTAAGGAAGAAAAGATTCTGAACATTTTTTTCTATGCTTCAGTGATTTATACATTTCTTTGGTTGCTAAATTAATACATTTTATTTAATTTATGAATAATGTTTTATTTTATAAATTTTTTGTTTTTGAGTTTCAACACTTTTAGAAATTAATTAATGTTTGGTTCTTTTGTCTTTCTGATATATCTTTATTGTTAGAAAGAGATGTCAGTAAAAACTCTTTCCAGTAATTAAAGTAATATCATGACAAATAGTTCTGAAATTCTTATGGATAACAGTTTAAATGATTCTTGGGTGAGGTCAGAACTGATAGGTTGTTTCAAACCATGACTTTTTGCAGTTTTTTTTATTGTTTTTTGATTAAGTATTTATTAATAACTTAGCCTAAGTTAATCTACTTGTAACTTTTTATAAATGTGCTATAAAAATAATGTGGTGTAATTATTTTCTTAAACCTTTAGGTTAACAAATTTTCTAAAATTGGAGGTAAAACCATTAAGACAAATACAAATACATGTGATGCAAAGGTTTGTTAAAAGTAGTTTTAAATAAAAAATCTTTTGAATCTTTTTTATAGTTTGTTTTGAACTTGTGTTAAAAATCTGTGTAGCATATATTTTTAAAAATTTGACGAATTCTAATCAGACATATAATGAATCTTTTTTTTTTATGTCTGATTATAATTTTTTTTGTAACTGTTTTCTCTTACTTTTGTATTTCCTTGAGCTAAAGAACAACCTTAAATTACAAAGGTTGATTTGTAACGCATGCTTAACCTTTTTTTTTACTCTATATATACATGCATATATATGTACATACATATATATGTATGTATATATACATACATGTGTGTATATAAACATACATGTATGTATATAAACATACATATATATGTATGTATATATACATACATGTGCTTATATGAATATATTATATATATATATATATATATATATATATATATATATATATATATATATATATATATATATATATATATATATATATATATATATATATATATATATATATATATATATATATAATATTAATAGTGCAATTTAAAGTTTTTTCTTTTATTTATAAAGTTGTACTTGATAAAAACAAATAAATAAAGATGAACATTTTGAATATTTATTGATTATTATGATAAATTATATAAAATACAGTCGTGTGACAATTTATTATGGCCACCCACAATTTTTCAAAATTATCAAATTTCAAAGTCTATTATTTTAGTATTTTTTTGTGATTTATGTACTCAAAGTAACTTTTATTTAAGAAATGGGTATTTTTTTGACAAATAAAAACAATTAACATATTGTTTATTATTTTATTATTAAAATATTATTAAATAAATTTTATTATTCAAATATTACTGCAAATATATTCAAGATCAATATTTGGTGATTCCTCCTTTGCCTCTATAATTGCAGGAACCCTTTTTGGCATACTTTTAATGCATTTTTGAGCCATTTCCTTCAATTCTTTATTATAGTTCCAATGTTGAAAAATTCTTTCTATTAAATACACTTTATTTGTAATAATTTTTTCAGATATTTGCTTCTTTAGGAGCGCCCAAACATTTTCTACAGGATTTAGGTCAGA